TGTAAATTATTTGATAGATTTTCTAGTTATTTAACATTGTGTAGGTACTTATGATAATRTAGATTGATGATCATGGGCTTAGAATATATGAAGGGCCATAGTGATTTGAGAATATTTTTGTAATTAGTATTAATTTGTAATCAGTAAAATTGGTAAAACTGCACAAATACTCCCTAATATTTTAACAGATACAATATTCGACTTCATATTTCTTTTAAATTATTTTTAAGGTCTATTATAAATTTAAATAATTAGCATATATTATTATTATATTACTCGTAAAATAAAATTGTCCACTAAATAGTTTATTGTAATAAAGTGAGGTTCTTGTTTGAAAAATAGAAGTTATTATTGCCACGGGATACTTCTAAAGTAAAACAAGATATCGCGAGAATTTGAAAATATGGTCCCTAAGTATATTTAAAAACTCCAAAATCCAGAATATTAATAAATTCATCCTATATAATGTTTTACTGTGGCTGTTATTATAAAACACACCACAGAAATTTTGATAAAATATAAAAATATGTATTAGAGAATAGAGAGTATAGYGRCTGAAGCGTTAAAATTTTTGTCGATCACGTAAATTACGTAATAATKTTATAATAATATAAAATTATTATGTAAACAGAACACACGTAAAAGKTTATCTAAAATAGTTTTATATTATAAATTGGACTATTGTGAGTTGTCTATTTTATGATGTGTAACATTATTTTGCGAGGACAAAATCATGTTTATAATAGACAAATAAAAACAGGATTTTTCTTTAAACCGACAAATTAATGACCGTTGATCTCGGTCCTAAAGGTCAACCTCAACATACTAAACATATACACGAATAATAGAGTTCTATCATTAGATGTAGAAATTATAATATTTTATCAGATAATATGTGCCTTTATGTTACATAATAATTAAAATAATTCGTTTCACGAGTGTTTCGAGTTTTCGATGGAATTTCTCATTTAGTATGTAACTATTATAGTAATATATCGTGAATGGCAGTTTGCTATAACAAATTTGTCGGAGATAGCATTAGAATTACTATTGTAGTTTATTTTAACACTATAATACACCAATGCATTCGACTTTAATAGCCCAAAGGACTTTATAGGAATTTAATGTTAATACAATATATTGAATAAAATACGATATTAGATCACACTAAAACCGTGTTAAATATTAAAATATTAAGTTTTAAATTTTAAATTTTGAGCGTAGTTTATTATAAAATTTTGAAGTAGTAAAAACCAGTGACTAGTTACCAGTCTACATACCAAAATCCAAAATCCAATTATATTCGTATCTTATACGTAAAATTATAAAATATTTTATTTGTTTTTTATTAATTAACAAAAATAAAA